AACATATGAGTACATTTCTTGGGAAAATTAATTTCTTTCAGTGTGTAAGATATCTTAAGGTCCAGCTCCACCAAGCTCACTAAACCTGCAAATTCCAGCTCCACCAAGCTCACTAAACCTGCAAATTCCAGCTCCATCAAGCTCACTAAACCTGCAAATTCCAGCTCCACCAAGCTCACTAAACCTGCAAATTCCAGCTCCACCAAGCTCACTAAACCTGCAAATTCCAGCTCCATCAAGCTCACTAAACCTGCAAATTCCAGCTCCATCAAGCTCACTAAACCTGCAAATTCCAGCTCCATCAAGCTCACTAAACCTGCAAATTCCAGCTCCATCAAGCTCACTAAACCTGCAAATTCCAGCTCCATCAAGCTCACTAAACCTGCAAATTCCAGCTCCATCAAGCTCACTAAACCTGCAAATTCCAGCTCCATCAAGCTCACCAAACCTGCAAATTCCAGCTCCATCAAGCTCACCAAACCTGCAAATTCCAGCTCCATCAAGCTCACTAAACCTGCAAATTCCAGCTCCATCAAGCTCACTAAACCTGCAAATTCCAGCTCCATCAAGCTCACTAAACCTGCAAATTCCAGCTCCATCAAGCTCACTAAACCTGCAAATTCCAGCTCCATCAAGCTCACTAAACCTGCAAATTCCAGCTCCGTCAAGCTCACTAAACCTGCAAATTCCAGCTCCATCAAGCTCACCAAACCTGCAAATTCCAGCTCCATCAAGCTCACTAAACCTGTAAATTCCAGCTGCATCAACCTGAAAATTCAACAAATTTCAGCTCCACCAAGCTAACAAACTCTGAAAATTGAATACGGATATCCAGTAACAGACAAGAGTCACACACACACACACACACACACACACACACACACACACACACCACACACACACACACACACACACACACACACCACACACACACACGAGTCACTGACACACACACCTGCCCAGCAGCGAGAAAAATAAAATAAGTTAGTAAATCACTGGGAAAACGTAGAATGTGATTAAAAAACCAGTATGGGTTCAGAGTGGGAAAAAAACCCTAGTACCTAATTCCCTTTACACAATTCTAAGAGAAGTCAAAGAGAAGTCATTAAGTCATAAACAGAATAAGTATGACTACATTAAGCTATATCCTGAGCCAAACGACGTCCATATCAAAGCTTCTTGTATATATTGTATCTAAACACATGGCAACAAGAGGAGTACCGCAAGGTTCAATTCTTGAACCTACACTGTCTATGATACACGTAAACGTAGATGCCCAACTGGTGTAATAGACTAATACATGTCAGTAACTGTGGATATTGAAAAACTATTGAGAAGAATGAGGGCAGAAGAGGACTTAAGCATGCGAAAATATCTGAAGACTCAACAGAAGTGATCCGACGAGCGGAATTCAGCGACGCAAAATGCAAGTTAATGTGGCTGGAATGAGGAGATAGGCAAGATTAATTGTAACACTTAAGACGGGGGGGGGATTAGAGAGTAACTTAAAAATCAAACTTTTCGCTTGAGACGCACAAAAACAATGAGAGGGTTGACGTTTACAAAGCTGCAGACAACACGTTTCGCTCTGAGAACTTTATCAAATCATAGACTTAATAAAGTTCTAGACAGAGTGAAACGTTGTCCGAATATAAGCTTGTTCTGTATCACCGACAGTACATCATCTGGGTTACCAAAGTTACCAAACATAAGAATATCCTAGAGGAATCTGCACAAGGAGGCCTTCACATCGCTCCACACATCATATGAGACCAGTACTCGAGAACGCAGCACCAATGAGAAGCCCTCGTCCCACCAAGCGTGAAAAAGGGAAACAGACAAACACCTGACATAACTAGAAGATGAGGGAATAAGAGGAGACCTGACCACCACTTGAAGGATACGAAGAGACACCTGTTATAGACAAAGGTGACGGAAACGTTCTGTTTGAAATTGAAAAGAGCAGATCGATGGGGAAAAGAGGTTAGGCTAGGTAAGGTTAGGTTAGATAAGGTTAGGTTAGGTTAGGCAGGGTTAGGTTAGGTTAGGCAAGGTTAGGTTAGGTAAGGTTAGGTTAGGTAAGGTAAGGTTAGGTAAGGTTACGATAGGTTAGATAAGGTTAGGTTACGTTAGGTTAGGTAAGGTTTGGTTAGGTTAGGTTAGGTAAGATTAGGTTAGGTAAGGTTAGGTTAGGTAAGGTTAGGTTAGGTAAGGTTAGGTTAGGTTAGGTAAGGTTAGGTAAGGTTAGGTAAGGTTAGGTAAGGTTTGGTTAGGTTAGGTTAGATTAGGTAAGGTTAGGTTAGGTTAGGTAAGGTTAGGTTAGGTTAGGTTAGGTAAGGTTAGGTTAGGTAAGGTTAGGTTAGGTTAGGTAAGGTTAGGTAAGGTTAGGTAAGGTTAGGTAAGGTTTGGTTAGGTTAGGTTAGGTAAGGTTAGGTTAGGTAAGGTTAGGTTAGGTAAGGTTAGGTTAGGTAAGGTTAGGTTAGGTTAGGTAAGGTTAGGTAAGGTTAGGTAAGGTTAGGTAAGGTTTGGTTAGGTTAGGTTAGATTAGGTAAGGTTAGGTTAGGTTAGGTAAGGTTAGGTTAGGTTAGGTTAGGTAAGGTTAGGTTAAGTAAAGTTAGGTTAGGTAAGGTTCGTTGGAGTTTTTGGTCATCAGAGTTAAATTAACAAATTCTTCAGTTTGAGGGTTGTGACCAGATAGAATGCATTATTAAGGAATATAGGGGAGACACACACGCCTTCAAAAGAAGACATGAAATAAATCCCTGAGATTTTGAGAGGTAAGTAGAAGGTATGATAAATAAAACTGCAAAAAGCAGAATAACAAAAGGAGAGAGGAAGGGCTGGGAATAAATCCCTCCAGTTAAAGTCCAGTGTACAGGTCCAAGGGCTGGAGCTCAACTCACGGAAACCCAATTAGGTGTATTATGTAAATACACAAAAAAGACGAGGATATAATTGTCGTGATATACCTTGACGTTATCTGCCGTGGCAGAGGGCGCTGTCTGCCGTGGCAGAGGGCGCTGTCTGCCGTGCGGTTCTTCGGTAAATTGAAGTTTGTCAACACAAGACCTCGTGAATAATTCCCTCACCCGAGAGGGAAGGTGAGGAACAAGTGAGGTAAAATTAAGGTAAACAAAGGGACAGGTGATATACAAGTGAGGTAAAATTAGGGTAAACAGAGCGACAGGTGAGATACAGCTGATAAAACTCCAACAGGTGAGGTGCTGTTGGTATACTAAATTGTGTAAGAAGTAGTTAACCGAACCTGCTGCCCCACCAACATGCATCACACCACCAACAGTCTGACAAAATAGCGATTTGCGGGACGGAGAATCGAGCCTCCGTCACCGTAATTTCTGGCGCTGAATGAACACCGTGAGATACAGGCTTCAGAAAAATACAAATATATATTTATATATATATATTATATATAAATATATATATATATATATATATATAATATATATATAAAATATATTATATATATATTATAGGATGGGTCCACCTCTGGTGTAAATTGTGGGACCCATAGCCTCGGGAAGTGGATAAAAAGGCTTCAAGGAAGAATATTTGGATTTCTTCCTGAAGCCATTTGAATATTCCACTTCCCCTACCACCCCATCTTTTGAACTATTTTTTTTTTTTTTTTTACCAATAGGAATATTTTTATTACATAATATGGCACAGAAGATTTAAGAGATACATTGTTGATATAAAGGTGGCATATACGGTACATGTTGTTACGTGTGTATCACCGATTATAAGGCGAAAATCTCATCCAGCTCCTCAGAGCTGGGGCGTGTGCCCAAAATGCGCATGCATTACCCCTTTGAACAGCCGCACTGAGCCGCTGGAACAGAAAACTAGCTGCCCTGGGATCCCTAGTTACCCTGATGAGTCTTTTTTCCCAACTCCTTAAGGAAATTAGATGCACTCTTTCCCCATGAGCCAAGGGTCTCTGAGCCTATGGGAACAAACATATAATGATGGGCAAGTTCTCCATATTTTCTAGACTTTTGGGACTCCCTAAAGCTGGCAGCTGCCCCTCCTTCCTCCCTGGTGTATTGGAGATAGGTATCAGCCAAGGTAGATGCACATGTATAGTCCCACACCACCTGCTTCCCATCTGTCCAGGCTTGAAGGGTGATACCATCTGGACGCTTCTGGCTGCCATCAGATCTGCATAGTTGGGGTGGCTCCCTTACTGCTGGGCATCCAGCTGTTGTGAGGCTCCTCTTGATAATGTTATTAACCTCCTCATGTCTTGCAATCTTTCCCTCGGATTTACGGCACACAAGACCATGGTACCCGAATCGGTCTGCTGCTTCACTGCCACAAATACACCTGTGTTCGGCGAGAATAGGGCGGCAAGTCGAAGGGCAACACCGATGCGGATGGTCTGTGGGTCGAGGCGTGTGCCAAGGCTGGAGTTGGGAACAGCCAACAGAAAGTCCCCAGCATGATGGGGCTCTCACTGCCAGGAGGCGGGCTCTATCCTTCCCTGACACACTCTGAAGCATCGTTGAGGCTATATTTTCCACTATTGGACCATCCCAGTGCGATTGTTTGTAGTTGTTGGGGGAGAGGTCTGGTTTCTGAGCCCGTTAGATTATCCCAGATCATTGCTCCGTCAATGAATTTTTGGTCCTGGGCTCCAATCTTGTCCCTAAGATGTTCAGGGAGAATCGCTGCTACAAGCTCTCTGGATGCAATACACGAGGACAGAAAAGCAGGTAACGCAATCTGTGATGACTTGCGGACACCAATGCCTCCTTGTCTGACTGGAAGTGTAGCTTGGTTCCACTGCCCGTCTTCTAGAGTAAGGTTAAGTACTTTCGTAAAAATCTGCCTCAGAATACTGTCATATTCGTGCAGTATAGGGTTATCATATGAAGGTGCACATCTAGGAAATATGTCAACCTGGGCAGACTCAAGCACTTTGTGAGAAGGTACAAGGCATCGTGGGTGTCCAGATTGCCTATTCGTTGTTCCATTCTCCTTAACTCTTCCAATTCTTCCTGAGAATTGTGTCAATGGCATTGCTTCCCAGAGGTGCTCCTAGCAAGACACTATTTGTGGGGGCAATGACTGCTGCTCCTGGTAGTTTTGATCTCACTGCATTTATCACTTGTTGACTGAGATGATTTCACATTTGGATGGATTCAGGATGAGACCCATTTCCTGTCCCCGTGTCATTACCTGTGTAAGGTCATGTAGGAGGGACTCCTTTGTACCTGCTAGTGTGCCATCATCTAGGAACCAGATGTTTAGCTCGCTGGTCAGTCTGACTGTGATTTCCCTAACTGCAATACAGAAGAGAAATATATTAAGTAAAACTGGTCAATTAGCAAAAACTCATTTAAAATTAAGTCCTTTCTAAAATTTTATCTTATACATTTAAAGGTTTATTTTTTTCATTTACGTTAACATAAAAATTAATGATTTTGTACCAAAAGAACCTAAGAAAACTTACCTAACCTTATTATAACAAGCGCAATTTAAGTTAGCCTAATCTAACTAAATATATTTTATATAGGATTCATTAATTTAATAATAAACAAACACAATGAAATATATTTTTTTTCGTTAGGTTTAGAATGATTTTTGCGAAATTATTGCATACACAAATTTTCGCTTGCCTTATTCGGCAAGAAGTGCGTTGCTATTTAATCCAGAATCGCAAATTATACGTATTGGACACGAATATTATATAATATATATATATAATATATATATATATAATATATATAATATATATATATATATATATATATATGTGTGTGTGTGTGTGTGTAAATAATACATAAATTTTTATCATTTCATGATAAAAATCTTTAACAAAAGGATAATTCTTCACAAAGAATTACAATACATTAAAAGATAATAGTAATGATCCGTCCATGTGTAGTTACGATAATGAGGAGTAGTCCAGCGGCTGCCTGACTGGCTGCCTGGCTACCTGAGTAGCTACCTGGCTGCCTGCATGGCTGGTTGACTGCCTGACTGGCTTCCTGGCTATCTGACTGGCTGCCTGGCTACCTGAGTAGCTACCTGGCTGCCTGCATGGCTGGTTGACTGCCTGACTGGCTTCCTGGCTATCTGACTGGCTGCCTGACTGGCTGCCTGGCTGCCTGGCTACCTGATTAGCTACCTGGCTGCCTGCATGGCTGGTTGACTACCTGACTGGCTTCCTGGCTATCTGACTGGCTGCCTGACTGGCTGCCTGGCTACCTGATTAGCTACCTGGCTGCCTGCATGGCTGGTTGACTGCCTGACTGGCTTCCTGGCTATCTGACTGGCTGCCTGACTGGGGTGCCTGGCTACCTGAGTAGCTACCTGGCTGCCTGCATGGCTGGTTGACTGCCTGACTGGCTTCCTGGCTATCTGACTGGCTGCCTGACTGGCTGCCTGGCTACCTGAGTAGCTACCTGGCTGCCTGCATGGCTGGTTGACTGCCTGACTGGCTTCCTGGCTATCTGACTGGCTGCCTGACTGGTTGCCTGGCTACCTGATTAGCTACCTTGCTGCCTGCATGGCTGGTTGACTGTCTGACTGGCTTCCTGGCTATCTGACTGGCTGCCTGACTGGCTGCCTGGCTACCTGAGTAGCTACCTGGCTGCCTGCATGGCTGGTTGACTGTCTGACTGGCTTCCTGGCTATCTGACTGGCTGCCTGACTGGCTGCCTGGCTACCTGAGTAGCTGCCTGACTGGCTGCCTGGCTACCTGAGTAGCTACCTGGCTGCCTGCATGGCTGGTTGACTGCCCCGACTGGCTTCCTGGCTATCTGACTGGCTGCCTGACTGGTTGCCTGGCTACCTGATTAGCTACCTGGCTGCCTGCATGGCTGGTTGACTGCCTGACTGGCTTCCTGGCTATCTGACTGGCTGCCTGACTGGTTGCCTGGCTACCTGATTAGCTACCTGGCTGCCTGCATGGCTGGTTGACTGTCTGACTGGCTTCCTGGCTATCTGACTGGCTGCCTGACTGGTTGCCTGACTACCTGAGTAGCTACCTGGCTGCCTGCATGGCTGGTTGACTGCCTGACTGGCTTCCTGGCTATCTGACTGGTTGCCTGGCTACCTGATTAGCTACCTGGCTGCCTGCATGGCTGGTTGACTGTCTGACTGGCTTCCTGGCTATCTGACTGGCTGCCTGACTGGTTGCCTGACTACCTGAGTAGCTACCTGGCTGCCTGCATGGCTGGTTGACTGCCTGACTGGCTTCCTGGCTATCTGACTGGCTGCCTGACTGGTTGCCTGGCTACCTGATTAGCTACCTGGCTGCCTGCATGGCTGGTTGACTGTCTGACTGGCTTCCTGGCTATCTGGCTGGCTGCTTTACTGGCTGCCTGGCTACCTGAGTAGCTACCTGGCTGCCTGCATGGCTGCTTGACTGCCTGACTGGCTTCCTGGCTATCTGACTGGCTGCCTGACTGGCTGCCTGGCTACCTGAGTAGCTACCTGGCTGCCTGCATGGCTGGTTAACTGCCTGACTGGCTTCCTGGCTATCTGACTGGCTGCCTGACTGGCTGCCTGGCTACCTGAGTAGCTACCTGGCTGCCTGCATGGCTGGTTGACTGCCTGACTGGCTTCCTGGCTATCTGACTGGCTGCCTGACTGGCTGCCTGGCTACCTGAGTAGCTACCTGGCTGCCTGCATGGCTGGTTGACTGCCTGACTGGCTTCCTGGCTATCTGACTGGCTGCCTGGCTACCTGATTAGCTACCTGGCTGCCTGCATGGCTGATTGACTGCCTGACTGGCTTCCTGGCTATCTGACTGGCTGCCTGACTGGTTGCCTGGCTACCTGATTAGCTACCTGACTGCCTGCATGGCTGGTTGACTGCCTGACTGGCTTCCTGGCTATCTGACTAGCTGCCTGACTGGCTGCCTGGCTACCTGATTAGCTACCTGGCTGCCTGCATGGCTGGTTAACTGTCTGACTGGCTGCCTGACTGGTTGCCTGGCTACCTGATTAGCTACCTGGCTGCCTGCATGGCTGGTTGACTGCCTGATTGGCTTCCTGGCTATCTGACTGGCTGCCTGACTGGTTGCCTGGCTACCTGAGTAGCTACCTGGCTGCCTGCATGGCTGGTTGACTGCCTGACTGGCTTCCTGGCTATCTGACAGGCAGCCAGTCAGGCAGCCAATCTCTCAACGAGAATGTCTCCTGACGCGGGTCAGCATTACATGTATACAATAACGACAAGATGAAAACTCAGACACATGTGCAACACTTAAGTGCTTTTAATATAGACGTTTCGCCACTGGATGACGAAACGTCTACAATAAAGATACCAAGATGTTGCACATGTGTCTAATCCTTCGTCACAACTCATCTTACCTGCAGTATCCTCTAACATACGTAACTAATCAAAGTGATTGACTTTAACTGGGCAAATAACTGGCCTTAACCTAACAGTGTACCAGTTTATAGGACATTTCCCCTTCCACCCTTAAAATCATATATATACAACCACCACTCACCCGTCAGGTACCTGTATCCTCCACAGCATCGGTAATAATCCCTTAGCTAACCTCAGATGTCAAAATATTCGCCTCAAACACGCTCTGTTTTGGGAGTCGAGACCCAGACCTCGATGTGGTACTGGAGCGCGGCGCTGGAATGGATCTGCGCGCCCAGACCTTGATGTGGTACTGGAGCGCGGCGCTGGAATGGATCTGCGCGCCCAGACCTTGATGTGGTACTGGAGCGCCGCGCTGGAATGGATCTGCGCGCCCGCGCAGGTGCCCAATTTCGAGAGGAGGCTCTTGTGCATATCCTTTGCTAGGTATATATCCTGTGAGGTATATATCCTGTGTAAGGTTATCTTGTGTGAGGTATACACCATTATATTCTATAATCGTCACGTATGTTACCAGACACTGCCTTCTCGATCCGAGTGCTTTGGTTGCTGTTGAAGAGCTCTTCATTCGAGGAACGGGAGCTGCCCCTCTACTTCCTCGGATTAAACTAGTTTATTTCACGTTACCCAGGTGTTGCATGATAACGAGGAATCATTGACAGGAGGTGATATTGAGGGAGAATACACAGGTGGTAATAACGAGGGAGAATACACAGGTGATGATATCGAGGGTGAATAGGTGATAACGAGGGAGAATACTCAGGTAGTGAAAACGAGGGAGAATACACAGGAAGTGATAACGAGGGAGAATACCCAGGTGCTGATAACGAGGGAGAATACACAGGTAGTGATAACGAGGGTGAATAGGTGATAACGAGGGAGAATACCCAGATGCTGATAACGAGGGAGAATACACAGGTAGTGATAACGAAGGAGAATACCCAGGTGCTGATAACGAGGGAGAATACACAGGTAGTGATAACGAGGGTGAATAGGTGATAACGAGGGAGAATACACAGGTAGTGATAACGAGGGAGAATACCCAGGTGCTGATAACGAGGGAGAATACACAGGTGGTGATAACGAGGGTGAATAGGAGGTGATAACGAGGTAGAATACACAGGTGGTGATAACGAGGGTGAAGAGAAGGTGATGACGAGGGAGAATACCCAAGTGCTGATAACGAGGAAGAATACACAGGTAGTGATAACGAGGGTGAATAGGTGATAGCGAGGGAGAATACACAGGTTGAGATAACGAGGGAGAATACACAGGTTGAGATAACGAGGGAGAATACACAGGTTGAGATAACGAGGGAGAATACACAGTTGGATGATAGGGAGGGAGAATACACAGTTGAGAGGTAGAAATGCACCCTATACCCTGAAAGAAATACCCCATCCCCCTGAAAGATGCACCCCATCCCCTGATAAATGCACCCCATACAATGTATACAAATGCCATACATAAATCAGTGTTTGGCATGATTTCCTCGCAGTATTTTCATGCCAACAGTTCATCCCGATTACCCTAGATGCAGGTGTTGTGTGCACGGTACAACACAACACCTGTAAGCAGGTGCTGTGTGTACGGTACAACACAACACCTGTAAGCAGGTGTTATGTGCACGGTACAACACAACACCTGTAAGCAGGTGTTGTGTGCACGGTACAACACAACACCTGTAAGCAGGTGTTGTGTGCACGGTACAACACAACACCTGTAAGCAGGTGCTGTGTGCACGGTACAACACAACACCTGTAATCAGGTGCTGTGTGTACGGTACAACACAACACCTGTAAGCAGGTGCTGTGTTCAGGGTACAACACAATACCTGTAAGCAGGTGCTGTGTGCACTGTACAACACAACACCTGTGTGCAGGTGCTGTGTGCAGGGTACAACACAACACCTGTGTGCAGGTGCTGTGTGCAGGGTACA